CAGTAGGCGCTCAGCAGCATGGTCCAGGCGCTCCTGCAGGAGGGGCCGGGAGTCAGACAGGGGAGTCCAGGCCCTGGGGCCTCCTCCCTCAGACCTGGGAATCTCTACTCTTTTTGAGGGGGAACCCAGATACCCAAGCCCCTAGATGCTTCCTCTTTGGGGGATCCAGGAGTATAATTCCTGATCCATGAAGACTCAGAAATCTCCAGCCATGGTCCCCTCTCTTTATGGACCCCAAAATGTTAGCCCTTGAAGACCCACAAATTAAGGCTCTGATCACCACTTTCATGGAGGACACAGAGTGTGGCCTTCTGAGGATTTGGGGGCCTGGGGCAGAAGTCCTTTCTGCCCAAGGCATCAGCTTTTCCCTCTGGTACATCTGGCCGGAAATACAAAAGTAACCTAATGACAGAATAGTGCCAACCACCCATCCTTGGGGGCGTAAGGGTTTATAAAAAGGTTGAATTTTCCTTGGCCGTTTCCTTGAAAAACCAATGTTTGCAAATCTTTCCTTGGTCCTTTGCATATAGATGTAAATCTTTCAAAAGGCAAAATAAGCTGTAGAAAGCCTTACAATCCAGGGATGTTTTTTGGGTCTGGGAGCCATCTCTGAAACCTAAATGTCCTGGAAGATAAGAGTCCTGTCTCCTGGCCACTGTGCGGTTTACCCTAAGCCTGGCCCCCTGTAATCACCTGCTTGTGGGAGAGATAGGACTTTACTCTTCCTTCAGATAAAGACCATTGGTTAGCACGGGGGCAACCCAATTATCAGGTGAATTAGGGGTGAACGTAAAAGGAGGCATAGCAAACAGTGCTGCTGAGCCCTCATAACCTTGAGGACAATTTATGGTTTCTCTTGAGGATGTGCTTTGTAAAAAACTGTAATGCCCAGGGGTGTAAAAAGGGTGAGATTTCTTTCCATCTTGGTGACCTCATTAGTGGGTGACTTGCAAAATACATGGCCATCTGGTTTAATGTGTCTTCAATAACAAAACTTTCTTTCCTACTTGCGGTGGAGAGGATTTAAATCCCGGGTGGGCAGGATTTAGATGCTTTCCCCAGTGGGGGAAACAGGACAGGAGGACACACACCTGGGGATTCTGAACTTGTCCTCCATCCCATCTGCTTCCGTTCCTATGTTTCCTTTCCAATTTCGCTGCCCCTCCGTGCAGTGAACACTCTCCAAAGACTCGCCTGGGCTCCTCAACATGTTTCCCATCTGTTCTCTCTTGAGCCCACCACAATCTGGCTTTCACTTCTACCCTCCAAACGGCTCCTGCCTAGGTGGCTGCCTTCCATCAACGCCCAACCCTGGGGTCCCATCTGCCTTCATTACACTGAGCTCCTGGCACCATATGACACAAATGACCCCTCCCTCCTCCTTGAAACACTTGGTGCCCCCGGTTCCCTTCCAGAAGGAACACTTTGCTGACTGTCCACCGATCTCATGGCTGTGTTTTTGCTGCTGTTCTCTCCATCCGTAGTCCACACCAGGCTTTCTCAGTCTCGGCACTACTAATGTTTGGGTCTGGGTGGTTCTTCACTATGCGGGAGGCGGCACAGGGTCCAGGGCACTACTGTAGGATGTTGAGCAGCAAGCATCCCTGCCTTCTACCCACTAGATGCCAGGAGCACCTTCCGGTTATGATAAAAACGTCCCCGGACATTGCCAAATGCCCCCTGGGGGTGCAGCCCAATCACCCCAGTTGGAAACCCCTGGTTTAAACGTTGGCATGACCTGGGCTTTAACCTGACGCTCAGCCCCCGAATTTTAAGTATCATCTATCTATATCTGATGACACTCAGGTGTCCACTTCTTACACCAGCCTATCCCTTAAGCATCAGAATCACATAACTAACTGCCTATCCAATAACTCCAGCTGGAAATCTAATAGTCATCTCAAAGTTAGCAAGACTAAACCCAAGGTTCGCTTCCTTATCCCACCCACTCCCGAGACCTCCTCCTGCCCAATCTTCTCCTTCTCAGGCAATGGCCCTTCTGTATCTCAGTCACTTACATCCATCACCCAGGCATCATGTTTAATTTCGCATCTCATGTCCCACATCCAGTCCATACCATGCTTTGAGTCCATCTCTCAAATCCATCCTTTTCCAGCCACTGTCCTCTACTCCAGGACACCATCATCTCCCACCTGGCCCAAAGGCCTCTGAATTCATCTCTGGCTTTACTTCCTGCTCCCGTCTCTGACCTCTACACTGTTTTCTACACAAGGCCAGAGACGATCCTTAAATTGGGTCCTGCACCCAGGCAAGAGCTGCCATCATTAATGGCTTCATTATGAGAAGGTGTCATCGGGTATCACCTCACCTGGTGGTTCCAGGAAACCTGAGTGACACTTGGCAGGCTACCTAACCTGTTTGAGCCTTGGTCTCTTTATCTTTAAAATGGGGTAAGAGTTCCTGCTTGCTAAGGTTATAAAGATAATGTCTGGCACAAAGTCTCCACTCAAGAATCATCAGAGTGAAAAATAATAGAAGCTAATCAAGATGTAGCCAGCACTCTGACTTGTCAGACCTCACATTAAGTACATTTCATACTTTATCTCACTTAATTCTCACATGAACTTACCGAGCCGGTAATAGCACTGCCCCGGTTTAACAGAGGAAACAGAGATTACTCCTTAAGGTTTCTTAATAATTGGTGGGGCTGAGATTCTGGCAAGTCTGGCTACTGAGTCCACAGGGGTCAGTGTACTGCTTCGTCCAATGAGGCTGACTTTACAGAAGTGGAAACTCAGGCCCAGCGAGGGGAGCCGATTTAGCGCAGAGTAATAATGCAAATCAGTGGCAGCGCAACAGGCTCCAGAAACTACAGCTCCCATGGCCTTCAGAGGCGGAGGCCCAGCCAGCGGAGCCATGGGCAGCCCCATGTGCTGCTGGGAGATGTAGTTTTGTGCGGTCTCGGGTCTGGCGGGCTCACCTGAGGACGTAGGACCGGGTGGGCGCGCTCTTGTAGACATATTGCGCCAGCCACCACTGCACCGTCATGTTCCAGTACCGCATGCCTTCCCGCACCCGCACGCAGAAGTCCGTGCCGTAGCAGTCGATGTTGCGAATGGTCTCATAGTCGTACTCCAGGGCAGCCGCCTCTTCCGGACTGGTGGGGGTGGAGGGTGAGGTTGGGGGACAGACATGCAGCTCAACCAGGCCCTCTCCTGATGCCGGCTACTGTCCCAGCCCCGATGCTAAGGATGGGGTCGCGGGCAGGCAACAGCCCTCTGGCCGTTATCATGTTGGCTAGGGCAACAGGGGAGCGTAGCCCAGAGGGAGCCTTTCTGGGGAGGAAGGTGGAAGTGGGGGCGCACAGTTCACCAATAATGGGGTTTTCCTTTTGGCAAGGAGTGGGCAATAGCCTTGAAAAGCCTTCGAAGGACTACGGTTGCTAGGCTACAAGTCCTTAGCAACCTGACCCTTCGCTGTCTTCATGCTAGGGAAAAGGCCATTCCTTGGCAACCAAGCTCAGTGTATTCAGAGAAGCCTCCACGTGAGGTCCCTTCCGAGATGTCAGACACTGCAGTTGCTAGGGAAGTAGCATCCTTAACAATGAGGTGGGCTGTGGTTGCTAGGGAGCTGTTCTAGGTCACGTGACAACTGCATGGTCTCTGTTGCTAGGGAAAGGGCATTCCTTAGCAACAAGGCCTGGGATATTTAGAAAAGCTTCCAGAAAGGGCCTTTCCTGGCTATTGGTCCTTACAATTCTTCAAGAAGTGTCACCCCCAGTAATACGGTAGTTCCTGGGTCACTGGTGCCAACACCCCTGTTAGGGAGGGAACCTCCTTGGCTCACCTGAACCCCTGGTGGCTTCTGATAATGAAAGGGGGGCCATTCACTATGAGTGGGGCCAGCAGGTTTAGAAAAGCCTTCATTTCTGACCTGACATTTTCTGGGGGGCACCCTCTCCAGCCACTGGCGATCCACCCATGGTTACTTGGGCAGTGGAAATAAATTTGCGTGGGGGTGCTAGGTCCCCCACAACGGGATGGCAGTTTGTATCTAGTAGGGGACTGCCCCACCCTAGCAAAGAGGAGCAGTTCATAATTTACATTGATGAGGGGCTGCTCCCCCGGCCCAGCCCTGGTGGAGGCTGACAATGGCTGATAGGAACAAAGAGGCAGTCTACTCCTGGTTGCTAGGGGCACCACTTCCCTTACAACACAGGAGCAACACTTCCTTAGTAACAAGAGACCCTGTAGTTATCAGCAATGAGACTCACCTAGCAGTGAAGGAGCTAAGGGGGTAGCATTACTAGCAAGAAGGTCAGTCCATCACTACCAGGGGGATCAGCTTCCTCAGCAACACTAGGAAGGCGACCTATGGTTGCTAGGAATTGTGTCTCCTCTGCTAGAGGACAGTAGTTATGGATGCCATTTCCTTAGAAACAGAGGGCAACTGCAGGCTATGTGATCACATTCCATGGGGGGGGGGATGCTGGCTCCTAGCAACAAAGGGGCAGTTTAGAGGGGTGCCATTTCCACAGCAACAAAGAGCAACACTTCTGGCAGGAAGGGGCAAACCATGGCTGCTAGGGAACCTGCTTCCCTAGCAACAAAGGATAACCCATCAATGCCCAACGATGGCATCCTGAACGACCAGGAACAATCGGGTTATTGGGGTGACACTTTCATGGCAACAGGGGTGGCATATGGTTGTTAGATGCCACCTTCCTTTTCCTAGTGATAGAAAGCAATTTGCCATCCGAAGGGGTGACAAGCTCTAGCAACACGGGGCAATCCATAGGTATCAAGAGCGTTGTCCCCTAGGACAGAGAAAGGCGAGCTGTGGTGGCCCAGGGGCAACACTATGCCAACAGGTGGTGGACCTGCCCCCTGCTTCCCGCTCTCCTCCCTGCTAGGGGCAGGGCCAGCCCGTGGTGATGGGGCCTGCCAGGTCTTGGGATGCCTCCCTCCCGCCGCCTGACCTGCTGGGGGGTGGGCATTGGAGGGTGGGGCCACCCCCGGCCCGGGCTTTGGCGGCCACGGGGTAGGCCCCGAAGCCGGCGGCAATGCAGCCGCACTCAGCCGCAATCCAGGCCACGTAGAAGCGCATGCGGAAGGCGAAGAAGACCGGGATCATGTAGAAGAGGCGGGCGGGTAGCGGGCGGGCGTAGAAGGCGTCCTCACGCACGGCCTCCAGCGGGAAGAGGTGCGAGGACAGCAGGAAGAGCAGCCCAAAGAGCGGGGCCGGCCAGGCCCGGCGCAGCAGGGGCCGCAGGCTAGGCACGGCTCCCGGGAAGGGCTGCTCCAGCCAGTCCAGGTACGTGCGGTAGCGGAAGAACGGGCCTGTGGCGGGAGGGGGAGGGGCAGCTGGTCAGAGGCTGGACCAGCAGGGAGGGTGGGGGAGCTGAGATGGGGAGAGGAAAGGGGGACAAACAGAGACAGATGCAGAGACAAGGGTAGGGGTGTCCCCAGAGGGAAGGGACATGGAAGCAGAGGACGCAGAGAGAAGGAAAGTGGTACACAGAGAGAGGGATCAATACCCCAGAGAGTGAGGGTTACTGAGTGAGGCTCTGAGACAGGTGGAGTCAGACAGACCCGGAAGGAGGGGGTGAGCTTGGTGTGACAGAGTGACAGGGAATAGAGAAGAGGAGAGAGGTGTGAAAAGAACCCATAGGGCACAGGGGTTGGAACCCCCCAGGAACCCAGAACTTGGGTTTTGTTCTCAGCGCCAGGAAACCACCATGGGCTTTTCCGACAGGAAGTGCCGGGTACCATTCACCTTTCACAAGACCCCTCGGCCACTGAGCAGATGGGGACAGCAGAGGGACAATGGTGGAAGATGGGAGACTGTTGCAGTATTTAAAATGATGGCCTGGCCTAAGGAGGGAGCAGTGGGGATTAACAGAAGTGACAGGTGTTAGAAGCCTAACATATCACAAAAGGCCACATAGTGTGTGATTCCATTCTAAAATGTGCACAATAAGCAAAGTGACACAGATAGAAAGCCAATCAGTGGTTCCCAGAGACTGGGACTGGATGGAGGTTTGGGGACACAGCTAAAGGGTGCAAGGGTTTCTTTTGGGGGTGACGAAATTGTTCAACGACATGGTGGGGACAGCTGCTCAACTCCACGAATATGCTAAACACCAGCACACTAGACATGGTTCTAAGTGGGAGACTATGTCAATTATAGCTCAATAAAATTGTCATAAAAAAGAACACCTTCTATGAGGTTAACATTAATGACAAATATTTTCTGAAACTAAAATGGAATCATAAGATGTGAATATTTATTCCCTGGGCAGCAGGAACATCAAGTCTACATAAACATTTCTCCTTTCTCTCCTGTTTGCTCCCAATAAGCTATAAGGCATCACTTAGACTGAGAACAGTTGGGCTGCCAATGGAGGAGCCCTGGGTCCCGCAGGAGGGTCAGTTACAGAAGCTGACCTGCAGAGCAGCAGACGCTGGGGTGGAGACAGGGTGAGGGAGACAGGACAGGGAGGCCTGGGGGGTAGGCGCACTCACCTGTCATGATTCCCACGTAGCAGTAGCTGTAGCTGAGTGTCTCTGTCAGAGAGGGCACATCGGGCAGCAGCCCCAGGCTGGGCCCCTTGCTGAAGCCAGAGGCCATTTCCTTCCTCTGGGCTAGGTGCAGATCCTGTACCTCACTGGCCAGACTCACCAGCTGGGAGGAAGGGGCATGGGCGGGAGACAGGTCAGACTCGGGGGCCCCCTCATACCATCTCCCCTCTGGGCAGCCAAGGGATGCTGGGGCGTGCAGCTGGGAGCTGCATTCCATTGCCCAGGGAGCATCTCGAGTAATGAGTTATGGCATGTCAGTGGCTCTCCAGATGGCATGCATTCACTGGGGCTCACTCCTGGGCCCGCCTGTCTTCTTTCTCTAAGTTCCATCCTTCTCTGTTCTCCTGCAGCCTGGGACTTTACATACCCCCAATGCTCGTGACTCCCAAACTCTCCCCGCAGCTAAGACTTCTCTCCCCACAGCCCCAAACCTATTCATTAAGTTGCGTCTTGTCATTAATACGCGGATGTCTACTGGGCACCTCAAATTTCACACATTCAGAGTGGAACCTGGTCTTACCCACTCCCCAAAATGGATCTGCTTCCAGTCTCTGTGCTCAGGCCATGGCACCACCGTCCAATTATTTGCGCAGGCTGGAGACCTTCCTCGCTCCCCAAAATGATTCTCTTAAATCTCTCAGGCCTGTCCTTTTGGTTTTGCCTCCACCACTGGGTGAATATGTTTGACCTCTACCCTTCTTGGCACAGACCCAAGGCCGGCCCTACATCAGCAGGTCTCCATGACTTCCAGCTTCCTCCCGGTTCAGTCCACAGAGAGCCCCAGGTGGACACGGAGGAAGGCAGGACTGAGGGCTCATGTTTTATCCCCTTGTAAGATCACCTTGGGCGGGCGTGACCCTAGACACATCTTCTCAGGGTGGGTGCCTCTGCATAAGCCTTTTATTTCCAGGCTCCCCTACCTGCCCCTCCTCTCATCCCTTTGGGCCCAGGGTTGGTAAGAGCTCCCCGGCTGCTGGTCCAGGGTTCCTGCACTGTCCCTTCTGGCTCCTCCATGTCCTGCCCAACCCCCGCCCCCCTATAAATAATAACTCCTCAAGTTATCCTAAATGTGGAGTTTCCTGTGGGGACTCTGAGTGACCTGCCGACAGCCTGATCAAGTCACCACCACCGTCTGCCTGCTGGACTTTGATTAAGGAGCCCTACCTCAACCCATCTTGCCCTTTCTATTGCAATTTCCTCAAGGCACCCAGAGCGAGTATTTTTAAAGATGTAAATCTGGTCACATTACCTTGTCTGGCAACAAACCAAAAAACCTCTTCCAGGGGACCTTGGGCCCCCATAGGAAGAAATCCAAATCCCCCACGTTGGCCAACAAGGCCCTTCGTGGTTTGGCCCTTGGTGTCCCTTCTCCCTCCTTCTTTTCAACAGTCCATGTGGCTGGTGCACAGTTGGAAGTCAGCCTGCTCCCTCCCACACACCGTGCCTGCAGCCTGAAAGGCTGTTCCTCTAACTCTTCTCTTAGCTAACCAACGCCTACCTGTCACGAGCTCCCTTCCTGAAGAGACCTGGTACATTACTCGCATAACTGTTCACTGATATATCGTGGGAGCCCAGTGCACAGTGGGAACTCGTGGCTTTTTGATCTGGGGTGGGGCTTGGGAATCTGCTTTCACCCATCTTTCCAGGTGATTTGGAGCCAGACCTGGGTGTCCTGGTTTTGTGCCCTTAGATAAGTGCCTTCTCCTCAAGGCAGTTTTCCTACTTTGCAAAATGTTTGCTCCAAAGATACAAGGAGAGCATGTTGGTGAGCATTTAGCTCAGCCTCTGGCACCCATGCTACATTACTTGGGATACCTCTTTAATCCAGGGAAGAGCTGAGAGGTCAAGTCCTGCCCCAGGGGGTGTGTGGGAGAGAAAATCCCACCTCCCCTACCCGCCATGGGAGTGGTAGAGAGGAGGAGGTGAAGTTAGGGGGGTTAACTGGCACAAAGGGAGGGTGGGGGAGTCTGACCTTCAGCGTGAGCAGCAGTTGGACAGCGTTGGTGAAGGGCGTGGGAGTGGGCAGGCCCAGGAGGCTGAGCGCGCGGAAGAACAGGAGGTAGGAGAAGGTCCAGGCCAGGGCCAGCGCGTGGCAGGAGCTGGGGCAGAGGCAGGAGGCGGTGGTGCTGGGCCCAGGAACTTGCCTGGGACCTTGCCTCTGCCTTCCCCAGATTCCAGCTACAAATCCCCTCTTACTTCCCCACCTTCAGAGACAGAAAAGGGGAGTGGGGACAGAAAGGATGAGACTGAAACAGTGGGAGAAGAGGCACAGTCACATAGAAATGTGTAGCAGCAGAGAAAAGAATAAGAGGTTAAGAGAAGCTTCAGAGTGAAGACCCTTCCATCCATTTTTTTTTTACTGAGGAAGGGGGAGAGAGGGAGGAGGAGAGGGAGAGGGAGAGGAAATTTGAATATGAATGGTGGCAAGGCCAACAGACAGGTAATGTCCTCCTCTCCTGAATCCATGACATGGATGTAGAAGACTGGGACAAACACACAGGGACAAGACCCAGAAAAAGGCAGGAGAGGGGGGAAAAAATAGACAAATGACACAGAGAAACAACAGATAAACAAGAGACATCCAGAGACCCAGGCAGAAACTGAGAAAGATCCAAAGAGCAAACAGGTTGCTTCCTCTTCTCCTCCAGTCTCCCCCAACCCCTATCCTCACCAGGGCTGGGCCTGAATGAGGGCCCAGGTCCCAAGGATGGTGACCAGAGAATGCAAAGTGTGAGGGCCACAGGTGAACAAGGTGAGCCCCAGGCCCACAGCTGCTGCTCCCCATCTCTTCAGCCCAGGTCCTGCAGGGAGAAGAGACAGCATAAGCCTGGAACCTTCCAGGGGGCCCCAACCCGGCTCCCCACCTCTATTTTCCACTGCGAGGGAACCTGACTCACCAGCTTTCTTAAAGAGGAAGCCGATGGGGATGGAGATAAGAAGAACCACTAGATATGTCCATTCTTCTGGCGACATGGTCTGGGGGAGGGGCAGAGGTTCATAGTGAGAACCCAGGAGTCCAGCCCCAAGCCCCTGCCACTTCGAGGATTCAGGAATCGGCCTCCCGGTCCTCAGTTGTCCAGGATCGTGAAGTCCTGCCCTCAGCTCCTCTCCTCTGAGAACATAAGAATCCGGACCTCCAGGCCCTTTCTCCTTCGAGGACAGAGGATTCCACCCTCTGTCCCTCTCTTTTGAGAACCCAGGCCTCCAGTCCTCTTCTCCTTTGAGAACCCAGGATGCCAGACCTCCAGCCCCCTTCTGCTTCGAGGATCCAGGAACCCAGGCCCTCTCTCTTGGAGCACGCAGGTCTCCAGACACCCCCAGCCTTTCTTCGGGAGGACTCAGGGGAGCCCAGGCCTCTAACCTCCACCTCTTTGTGAGCTCCGTACCCCTCTCCTGCTTAAAAGCCGGAGAGCGGGATCACTCGGATCTTCTCAGGCCCCCTTCCCCAGTCACACTTCGGCTGTGCGCACCCAGCGCTGTCAAGATCGCCCCGGCAAAGCCACAGGCAGTTACGCCACCTGGTGCTCGGCCGTGCTTCGGCGCCGTTCCCGCACCCCGTCACCCAGCAGATACGCAGCGACCCCATCGTTCTTGGGACTCACCTACCACCGCTCACCTGGGCCCGGCTCCGCGCAGCTCGCCGGGCAAGAGACCGAGCTGTCCTGCCCTGGCCACACCTTCCCGCCCCGCACGCCCCCGCCTTTCTCGAGGGCCTGTCGGGCTGCGCGATCCGGGGCTGTGTGCACGGCCACTTTCAGGGTCTGGGCTAGGCAGGGAAGGGGCTGGCACCCGGTGCCGGAAGCACGCGCCCACAGATAGACCCGAGATCTACCCAGCCGGAGTACACGAAGAGGCGGGGCGTCGGGCTCAGAAATAGGAGGGGCCAGAGCTCGTGCTCCGAAGGAGGTGATGGGACCCGGGAAGCAGACGGGGCTGGGACCTCTTTCGGAATGAGGCGGGGCCTTCGCTTCGGGTTTCTTCGGGCTGAGTCGGAAGGCAGTTTGGAGGAGGGGCCACGAGCTTCGGTTTCCTTCGGAGATAGTCGGGTACAAATGACTCGGGTTTCCTGGTAGGCGGAATCTCCTGTTCAGAAGGGAGGCGGGGGCCCAGGCCTAGGCACCACAAAGGAGCCGGTGACCAAGATAGTCCCAGGGGGGCGGGGCTTCGGGCCTCATCGGCCCAGGAGGGTGGGGCCAAAGAAACGCGCCTTACGATCCGAAATCGCCGAACCGAAAGGACTGAGGGAGGTGCGCTTCGGTGGGCGGGGTTAACGTTGGGCGCATCCCCCACAAGGGAGAAGGCGGGGCTACGGCCCTGCGGGGCGGGTCCCAGGCTTCCCTCTTCGTTAAGGTAGCGGCGTGACGAAATTGACGCAGGGGGTCCGCAATGGGGAGGGGTATGTGGAAGAAGCCCATGGCGCGCTACGTAGGGGCGTGGGTCCGCCGGGACAGCGAATTGGTGTTTACGAGGTGACTAGCTGGTTCTACCAGAGGACGGTGCGACACTGAAGGGAGACGAGGAGGCACACCGAGCGCCTACGAGTGGGGTGAGCCCGCCCGAGCGGAGAACGGACAGCGGGTGCTCAGGGACCTCGGCAATGGGGTTCGGTCGTGGTGCGACGACTCCCTAACTGGGGAGCGCTTGCAGCCGGAGGGGGCGGGGCCTTAGGCTGCGGCATGACGGGAGCCCATGACGCTCGAACGCCCAACAGCTGGCATCCGGGAGGGGGTGGGGCTGTGCATTCGGCTGAGCCGAGAACTCCCGAACGCGGAACTGCTATTAGGAAGTGGGCGGGGCTTCGTGCTGTGGTAGACCTACTCAGAGCGAAAAGCCCCTGAGGCCGAATCTCGGTGGCTAGGGAAGGGGTGGGGCCAAGTTCCGTGCAAACTGAAGCGGGCGTGGACGGCCGCTTTGCGATAGGGCAGTGCAAATGGACCTCGTAGGGGGCATAGCCCCGCTTCAAGAATTTGCTCGGAGGAGCGATAGCAGTCGCGGCAGTGTTGGTCCAGATCGAATGCTGACCTCAGGGCCGCGGGACCTGACGGGATCGTCCGGGGGCGGAGCCCAGCGCCAGGGGGCGGGGGCCTGCCGCTCTGGCTCGGCAGGTGGCTGACCGCGGAGCGAGCGAGGCTCCGCCCCTTGTGCCCCAGGGGCGGAGTTTCGCTTGACCCCCGAGGACGTGGGTGGGCTCCTGGTGGCGGGTGGCTCTGTGTGTGACCGCTGTGACCCCCCCCGCTCCTGCAGGAGGATGCTGGTGGTGGAGGTGGCGAACGGCCGCTCCCTAGTGTGGGGGGCCGAGGCGGTGCAGGCGCTGCGGGAGCGCCTGGGAGTGGGGGGCCGCACCGTAGGCGCCCTTCCTCGCGGGCCCCGCCAGAACTCACGCCTGGGCCTCCCGCTGCTGCTGATGCCTGAAGAGGCACGGCTCCTGGCCGAGATCGGCGCCGTGACCCTGGTCAGCGCCCCGCGCCCGGATCCCCGCCAACACAGCCTGGTAAGGGGCGGGCTAGGGGCGCGAACTCCCTGAACCTGCGGGAAAAGAGGCTGAAGAACCGGACTCTGGGTCCCCGAGTGGGAGGGGTCTGGGAGTCCTGGATTCTGGAATAATGTGGAAGTGGGAGACTGGGAACCCCGGGTTCAGGCGCTGAGATTAGGAAGGGTCAAGGAGTCAGGATTCCTAGTTTCCTAGTAAGGGAGGGCATACCTGCCTCCTGAGGTTCTAGCCAAGTTTACTTCTCAGGCTCTGGCATCCTTCAAGCGGCAGCAAGAGCAGGGCTTCCAGGAGCAAAGCGCCCTGGTAGCTGAGGCCCGTGAGACTCGTCGCCAGGAGTTCCTTGAGAAGATTGCGGAGGGCCAGGCAGTCAAGAAGCAGAAGCTGGAACCAGATTCAGGGACCGGCGAGAGCCAGGAGGCCAGCGGGAACCAAGCTGCTGGAGAGAATGAGGCCAGTGCTAGCCAGGCGTCTGGGGAGCACGAGGAAGCAGGTGAGGGTGGGAGTTGGAGCCCAGGGACCAGGGGAAGGAGGGAAGAGATCTTTTGGAAATTTTGTCTGGAGCTCTAGGGCCTGAATCTCCCTGGGGGGATGGGAAGACCTTGTCTTTTGGATTTACCAAATTCTCTTGGATTCACCTTCCTCAGGCTCCTCGTCTCCCCAACCAGGGCCTTCAGATGGGGTGGCCCCCTTGCCCAGGTCTGCTCTGCTCATCCAGCTGGCTACTGCTAGGCCTAGACCCATCAAGGCTAGGCCCTTGGACTGGCGTGTCCAGTCCAAAGACTGGCCCCACGCTGGCCGCCCAGCCCATGAGCTACGCTACAGCATCTACAGAGACCTGTGGGAGCGAGGCTTTTTCCTCAGTGCTGCTGGCAAGTTTGGGGGCGACTTCCTGGTCTATCCCGGTGAGTTTGGGTTGGGACCTCTGGTTGCTGCCCCTTCACAATCCTACCACATTCTGCATTTTTCCTTTTTGTCTCATTTTCTCAGCTTCTGAAACACATGGAAAGATAGGAAACACTTGGGAACCCAAGCTCATTTAGTGGGCGGTTTAGTAAATTTTATTATCACTTGCTTTCATCTAGAAATTCCACTGAGAAATACTTACATATATGCACCAAACATACAAGTCATTGCAAGATTCTTTACAGTATTGAAAAGTTAGATAAGAACCAGAATGATGATTAACAGGTTAGTGGTTAAATATCACTGTTAGTTGTCAGAGAAACAGCATTAGTTGTCTGATTGATGTAGGTCCATGTACATTCATTTTTTAAATAACCAAAGGGAGAAAAAAAATAACCGCTTGTAGAAAATGCACAGTAAAAAGTAAATAACTTTATATTGTTATGCAGTTATGTACGCATTATTTAAGTAGCCTTAAAAATTGTGGCTCTAGTGAAAGAATATGAAAAGAACTTAAAATAAAACGGAGTACTAAGTAGACTTAGAGAATCCTGTCAAGCCAGTAGAAAAAGGCATGAAAGGATGTACTCTAGCCCAACTATAGTGGTTTACCTCTGAGAGGGAATTTGCATCAGGTATGGGTAAAGGGGACTTTTGATGAATCAGTTCATTTTTGAATTTGTAGTAAGGGTACATTTATTGTGTAACTAAAAGGTTAAATAAATATGCAAAAAATCACCCTTTTTGTTTCTGTTAAGAACGTGGAAAGATAGAACTACCTGATGAGTAGTCAGATCTTAGCTATTGATTGGAGACTGTCCACTAAGTCTTCTGCAGATGAGCTGGGAGTCTTCATCTCTTCAAAGACTAAAAACTTAATTTAACTAAATGATTGATTTAGGAGCTGGGAACAATTTTCCTGCACCATTCTCCACAGATGACCACGGTTTAATTATTTCACTACTATTTTTTAGTGACTTTTGTATGTAAAAAAAGATTATTTTGGTTTTGAAAATGAATATTCAATTTATTAAACATATAAATGCTAATATTTAGTTCCTTTCTAAGCTTTCAGTTCAACTTGCAGATTTTAAGGGGACCATTAGTTCATGTTTGATCCCATTTGCAGAAGGAGTTAAGTAGTTTTAAATATTATAAGCTATATTTTAAATTTTAATATATTTATTTTCTTCTTTAAGTTCTGCATTTTTCTGTTTATAGACCTTGCCATAAGTTAAATCTAATGAATTATAAAGGGGGTGAGTTTTAAGTTTATATGTTCTAGCACTGTTAATAGACTTACTAATACTTCAGGTTAAAATAAATTTAAATCAATCACACATTTGAAACTGAACTACAAGGCTGACCTGTTAGTTTAATAGGTTAATATTTCTAAAACAATAAATACTCAAGATACCAGATATGCATAGAATCCTTGTCCTCTGAAGATTAACATCCAAGGTCTAAATCTCTTAAATATTTATAAGTCTAATATTAAATGTTTTTAATGTCAAGAGATGCTAAGCCTCTAAGAAAATAGTTTTGGGGTACCTTCTCAAGCATTTTGTTGCACTCTTCTCAGCTGACCAGAGAGGTTCTTGCTGGAAGTCCAGCTACAAGGCTGGGCCTCATTTCAGAGTTGCTATGATAGTTGCCTCAGTTGGGATGTCTCAGAGCCTTGCCCTTTTATTTACATTCTGTTACTTGATCTTTTGTATAGTGTCCCACTTAGGGTCGTACTCTACTTGATCAGAGTCATCTAATCAGGGGGTGCAAATTATAGCCTCAGGTCAAATCTGGCCCACGGACTGATATTTTAAATAAAGTTTTATTGGAACACAGTCCTGTCCATTTGTTTCCATATGGTTTTTGGCTGCTAGTGTGCTACAGTGGCAGTTGAGTATTTGCAGCGTGGCCCACAAAACTGAAAATACTTACTATCTGGCCCTTTTCAGAAAAAAATTTGTTGACTCCTTTATCCCATCTATTATTACTCAGTCCTATTATAAATTCTTGTCTTATTTCTTTTAGTCTGTTAGACTCACTTTTCACTGGATATTTACATGATGTCCTTTAACTTTGACTGACTTTCATAGGTCATGACAATGATATATACAATTATTTATTTTTGTTTTACATAAGATTATGTTATACATGTGTGACAACTTGCCTTCTCCCCTCCCCCACTCGATGTTTCTTTGACCACTGTCCAAGGTGGTACAGTCTTTTAATCTTTTTTTCTTCAGTTGACATTCAATATTATTTTCTACTCTACTGTCTTGACCAGAACCTACATTCTTTTAATCTAACAGTTGCATAGTATTCGATGTTACGGATATACTATGAATTTAACCAGTCCATGTTTCCATTTTTTAGCAACTGTAAGTGATAGCAAAGTGAACATCTTTATAGATTTTAGTGCTATTATACTTCTAAGAGAAAAATTTTGAGAAGACCACTTTCTGGGTCCAAGGGTATCTTGTAAAATACTCATAGTGATTGCTAAAATGATCCCCTTTCTCCTGTGCGTGGTCCAGTGTCTAACAACCCTGTGCCATTGGAAAGTGCTGCTGCATTCCTTTCTTCCTCACCCAGGTGATCCGCTCCGTTTCCATGCCCACTACATTGCCCAGTGCTGGGCTCCTGGGGACCCCATCCCACTCCAGGACCTGGTTTCTGCTGGCCGCCTCGGAACCAGTGTCAGGAAGACGCTGCTCCTCTGTTCCCCACAGCCTGATGGTAAGGTGGTCTACACCTCCCTGCAGTGGGCCAGCCTGCAGTGAACTCCAGAGACCTATGGGGTGTGGCTGTGTCTTTGGCAAGAGCCTTTCTAGATGGCCCCAAGTTCATCTCTGCGTGGGAGGCTAGAATATCCCATGCAGTTAGTTTTTGATTCCAGATTTATAAACACTACATCTTTCTTATGTCCCTTCCTCTTTCAAAGCACTATTGGCTGTGTTGTTTTATAGTTACCCATTTCCAAACTGTGAGCTTCTTGAGTGAAGACTGGGTTGATTCATCTGTGTTTTCTACAGGGCTTGGGTCCCAAGAGGTCTCAATAAACTTGTTGAATAAACGTGGAGTTTGTGGTTTGAATCCTTAGGACCATCCTGGGAAGTGTGGCCATTTGCATCTGCTTATACAGATGAGGAAAAGTCTAGAGGAGGGGAAGAAACTTGCCCAAGGTCACACAGCTAGTAAGGAGCAGGGCTGGGATTTAAAATCTGGTCTTTCTGACTCCCAACGAAGTCTGAGCTCTTCCTACTACACTAAACTTCCTTTAGAAAAGATTTTTACAAAACATTTCAGACACATACAAAGATGTAAATAAAAATAACACATGAAGAGGAGGATGTGAGTGTTGCCATTTCAGAAAGGGCTCTAGGGCCTTCTGGAATACTGGTGGTATTCTTTTTCTTGGCCTAACAGGTGTTTATTCAGGTGTTTGAGAATTGTTTTTTATACCGTACATTTATATTCTGGATCCTCTTTTTAATATGTGTCATATTTGACAATTTTTTTTACCAAAACAAATGTATTAAAACCAACATTTATAAAATGATCTCTATATGGACCTTTCTGCTTAAGAAATTACTAGAACAGGGCTGGCTGAGTGGCGCGTTGGTTAAGAACTGGCTTGGGACGCCAGAGGCCCTGGTTCGGATCCCACATATGAGGGCCAGTGACACTGCCCTCTACAGCTAAGATGCTTAACAACAGCTCAACCTGGAGCTGGGCTGCCATGAGTCACCAGCGACGGCGTAGGCTGCAGCCCCTGTGGCAGTGGGTTTCCATGGGCTACCGTGTGTAGCCAGCAGCCAACGTGAGCGGCCAGCAGCCACAGTGAGCGGCCGTCCAGAAGCCGGTGACTGATCTGCCTCACCCGGGAAGAGCGCAATGATGGTGCCAACTTGGGCCAGTGAAGCAACGTCCTCCACAACTAGACTGAAGAACAAAAGGACAGCGACTTGTCTGTTCCCATCCCCCAATTCCCCAATAAAAATCTTAAAAAAAAAGAAAGAAATTACTAGAACATTATCAGTACCTACTTCCAGCATACATATATTGAAATAATGTGTAGTCTTGTGTTGACACATAGATCTCGTGACACTCATGGTAAATCCTGGGGCTGAAAGTCTCTACCTCTAGTTCTCAATTTCTACCCTCCTCCAACTACTTTCTTTCTTGCTCTTCTCAGTGAACAAACTTGATAGAATCTCAATTTCCTATCTGTTTGGATTAATTTGAAATAGGACACCAACTCCTGCCTGGCTAACACCACTCTTTGTGTCTCTTTGGTAATTGGCTTGCATATATATTGTTCAACCTTTGTCTTCTCTCTACAACAAAGCACTTACAAGTCTCAGTACCTATGTCCTGAGTCTTCCCTCTCAAAAGTTCTTCATTAAAAACTTTTGATGGGGGAGGGGGGTTGTCACTTCGAGGGGTAAAAAGTATAACTATTGCACTGTGTTGTACAGCTGAAACTAACTCTAAAAATGTATTTCATAATAAAAAATAATTTAATAAAAAATTTAAAAATCCATTAATGAAAAAAAAACCACAAAACTTTTGAAAGTGTCCACATGCAAATAAACAAAAAAAATCTATTGGGTTGTCAGAAAAGTCATGATGTATTTTTTCTGGTTTTTGTTGCAAAAATATGTCATGACTTCTTTTTGTTTGTTTTTTTAGCTGAGCCATCCTGCCACCTGTTGGCAGCTCAGCGGCTGCTCAGCTCGGGCCAGAACTCAAACCGCTGTTGCTCAGAGCTCAAACTCTTGAGCGAGCTCTTAACCAACTGAGCCACTCACTGGCCTGTGTTGTGACTTTTCCGACAACCCAATAGATGGAGACCTTATGCCCCTGGCAAAAAAGTTAACTCAAAATGCATCATAGACCTAAATATAAAATGCAAAACTAAAACTCCTAGGAGAAAACCTAGATGACCTAGGGTTTGGCAGTGACATTTTAGATACGTACTAAAGGCATCAAAATTAAAAACTGAGAAAATATTGCAAAAGACATACCTGATAGAGGACTGTTGTCCAAAAGACACAAAGAACCCTTAAAACTCAACAAGGAAACAAAGAACAGATTTTAAAATGGTCTAAAAACCTTAACAGACAACAGACACCTCACGAAGTAAGATTCAGATGGCAAATAAGCATACAAAAATGTCATCACAGAAATGCAAATTAACAATGACATACCACTATGTACCTATCAAAAAGGCCAGAACCCAGAACACTGACAACCCCAAATGCTGGCGTGATGTGGAGCAACAGGAACTCTCATTCATTGCTGGTGGGAATGTAAATGGTACAGTGACAGAAGAGTTTGGCAGCTTCTGACAAAACTTATATGTGATCCAGCAATTACACTCAGTATTTACCGAAGGTCATGAAAACATGACCCCACAAAAACCTGCAATGTTATAGCAACATTATTCACAATTGCAAAAACGTAGAAGCCACCAAAATATCCTTCAGTAGGTGAATGGATAAAGTATGGTACTGTTATTCAGTGCTAAAAAGAAATGTGCTTGCGCGCCATGAAGACATGGAGGAATCTTAAATGTATATTACTAAGTGAAACTTCTGAAAAGGCTACCTACTGTATGATTCCAACTATTGTATATGGCATTCTGGAAAAGGTGAAACTAGGAATGAAAAGATCAGGGGTTGGAGCAGGGAGGGAGGGAGGAATGACTGGAGCACAGGATTTTTAGGGCAGTGAAACAACTGATACTCTAATGATAAATGCATGTCATTGTACATTTGTCCAAACACATAGAATGTACCACATTCATGGTGAACTGTAATGTAAACTATGGACTTTAGGTGATTATAATGTGTCAATGTAGGTTCATCAATAGTAAAAAATGTAGCACTCTGGTAAGGGACGCTGATAATGGGGAGGCTATGTGTGTGTGGGGGAGGCAGGGATGTATGGGAAATCTCTATTTCAATTTTGCTGTGAACCTAAAACTGCCCTAAAAAAGTCTTAAAAAATAAAGTGTGACTGGTACTCCCACAACCAATGAGCCAGTAAATCCTACAGGCAATACCTTCCGAGTGTAGACCAGAATTTGACCACTTTGCTCCATCTTCGCTGCTAACGTTGCCAAACCCAGGACAAGGCTCACTTGGATGATTGCAGTAGCTTCTTCACTCATCTGCTTGGCTTTCACCCTTGCCCCTCTATTGTCTGTTTTCAACAGACAGGTTAAAAGGTAGGTACAGACCATGTCACTCCTGTTTGAAACTCCATTTTCCCATCTCTGGATAAAAGTCAAGGCTCCATGGACACTGCAGGTTCCTCTAACTCTGACCCCATCCATTCATCTGTCTGTGCACCAGCCTCTTCAGCAAGCTCCTTTTTCATTGTCTTCACACCTGCTACCCAACCTGGAACACTCGTCCTCTGATGGTCATGTGGTCTTGTCCCTCACTGCCAGCTGGTCTTTCCTTCCCAGGCTTTTCATGGTCACCTTACCTCCAAATTTGACACTCCTCTCACATGTCCCTTCCTACTTGATTTATTTGTCTTACCACTTAGCACTAATGTGATATTGTAATTTATAACGGGAAAAACATATATACTTGGTCTTCATCCCTGTTCCTGGCACAGAGCTAAAACCCTTGGAATTTCCTAAAGTGATAAGAGCTATAAAGGTATCTTGATATTTATAACAACCACCTTTCAAACACACCTGAGTTTATGGAAATGAAGTGACTTTTGGAATATACCTAAGAATGGGGTCTGGTTGCCAGGAGAACCAACTATGTGATTAGAAGGTTGGAACTTTTAATATCTCCCCTCCACCCAGGGGAGAGGGGCTGGAGATTGAGTTCAGTCACCTGGGGCTAATAATTCAATAAATCATGAAGCTCCAGGTGCACCACTCTCCCCAAATTTCATGTTCACTAAACCAGAAGCTCTCCAAACTGTCCTTTTCGGTTTTTATGGAGGTTTCATTACACCTTGGTGTCTCTGCCAAAACACAAGTGACGGTGACAGACACTCTTATTCTGAATAAAGGGCCTTTGCTTGTTCTCATTTGGTTGGTCTTTGTTTATTTCCACATCGTGTAATCTTTGGCAAGTTCCATAACCACCTTTTGGTGCCTCAGTGCTGTCTCTGTAAAATAGGATTGGTAATAGTATTAATGCTCCTTAAGAGAGTATTGATAATAGTACCATTATGAGGGAAGGCAACTTCTGAGAATATTCCTTATGTATTGAGGATTGAGTAATACATGTAAAGTTCTTTGACCAGTGCCTTGTGCATAGTAAGCATTTCAGAATGCCACCTTTTATTATTTTTAGTGATAGAAATAAATCATGGGTCACAAGAATTAATTTAAAAAACCCAGATGAAATGTTTAACCCAAAGCCTAGTGCATTTAAAGTGCTCATTAAACATTATCTAACAATGATAAGTAAAGAGCTTGGTGTGAATGGGATTACTCCAAAGAGGAAAGGACTAGAAGAGATAATCCTAGGGGCTGTCTGAGGGTAAGAAGTTGACAAAGGAGATCAAAAACTGTACATTCCTTCAGGTGACAAATGATGCCAAGGTGCAGCAGAATGTATAGCAAGTGGTTTCAGAACATTTTCCATGTTCTGGGAACCTCAGGATATAAACTGCTGTTCCGATAAAGAGGCACAAAAGCTTTATATCCTTGGGTCTCAAGTTAAAAAACAAAATCACCTTAAAAAGCCTACCCCTGACCATCCTATCTGAAGTGCCACCTTCCCTCAGTCATTATCAGTAATTTATTGTCTTAATGGCACCGCACTTGGAAGTGACTTACTTTGTTCAACATACTATTTTTTGGTTCGCTTCTCTAAGACTCTAAGCTCATGAGTAGAAGAGCTATTTTATTCACAGCTATATGCCACCGTGTAGGAGAATGATTCCTTGTGCTGCTCAATAAATTGCATAAATTCATTAATGAGACCGAGAGGTAGCCAGAGCCACTAAGTGATACACATTCTAGGAATGGCCGAATTTCAACCAAGATCTTTTTTCCCTTGTCTACAAAAAGCAAGGAGGGTAAAAGTGGAATCTTGTCAGGATGCCAAGCTGAGCTGTGTCTCTCCTAAGGCAAGTAACAGAACTGTGACTCGATGGATCCTTGCTTTCCGTATTCGCCCCTCAGATTTGCAGCCGGGGATCAAAAGGGCAGGCTGGCTTCTGGCTATACTTCAGGATGACATTATTCTGATAGGAAATACGACGACCTCATTATTCACGGGATCCACAGAGCATCTTCAGGAAGAAGCTGTGAGCTCGCGAAGCCTCAGCCCTCCGGGGGTCTTTTCAGAGTGGGGAGCCTGCTGAGGTTTTGAGACATAGATATAACGTCTCCAACATTATACCCGACTTAGAGGCTAGTTGGCTGGATTTCAGTCACTACCCGGGGCGGAGGACGGTCCCCACTTCTCAGGTCTCCGACTCCCTGTCAAGCCAAAAAAAGAGACTCCTAGCTTAGCAAACGCGGTTCTGGCCCAATCTTTTGTCTCCACAGTTCTTCCGACCGCCAACGCCTCTTCTGATTGGTGCAGGCGTGCGCCGTGCGGGTTGACGTCATGGGCGGCGGCATTACTATAAGAGCGCGGAGGAAACGCGTGTGGTCCTTTTCCTCAGTTACCGGGGGTCTGCTCTTCGGTTAGTTGTGTTGCCGTGCTTTGTAGTCCGGCTGTGGGTTGTAAGGTCGTGCAGGCCTTCCGAGGTTTAATAAGGATAATGAAGAGGTTGGGGGTGAGATGAAAGCGGATGGTAACTCTTGTGGGTTGATAACCAGTTGTATAAGCTTTAGGGACAATTCTCGCGAGATGTGTGGTGTTCCACCATAGTTATGGGACTGCGCAGGCGCCGCCTGGAGTCCTCACGTTCAGCTTTCCCTCCCGCGCAGGCGCTGACGGGCAAGCGGAGCCAACATGCCGGTGGCCCGGAGCTGGGTTTGTCGCAAAACCTATGTGACCCCGCGGAGGCCCTTTGAGAAATCCCGCCTCGATCAAGAGCTGAAACTGATCGGTGAGTGGCCAGGGCAGGGTTTTGGCTTCCGGGGTCGGGGGAAGGCGAGCACGTGGATCAGGTTGCCCAGTGCTCTGCTCTGTCAGTTCGAATTCTCAGGCGTGTACGTCTCCTTCCCTAAGTTCAGGATTATTCGTGGTTTGGAAAACATTTCTGTATTTCGAAGCCACCAATGCAGCTTTTGCAAAAGTTCGTGGGATTGAGTCTGTTCGCCCATCAGCCACCCCTTTCATTTTGTAGGCGAGTATGGGCTTCGGAACAAACGTGAGGTCTGGAGGGTCAAATTTACCCTGGCCAAGATCCGCAAGGCTGCCCGGGAGCTGCTGACGCTGGACGAGAAAGACCCACGGCGTCTGTTTGAAGGTGTGTATGGGAGCCCACAGGAAAGGGACGAAGTAAGTGCAGGGCTGTTGTGCTTCTAGGCCTGCTAGTCCAGCGATCAGAGGTGTTCCATTGAACAAGTGGAGCCAGCCTTTTAACTTCGCGTCAAATTGGAATCGTGGGGTAGGAAAAGGGAATCTGGATCCAAGTCTCTGCCCTATTCTTTGTGTGTGACACTTTGTTTTACCCAAATGTTGGATCTTAATTTACCCTTGACTAGAGTTAATGCCAAGCAAGCTTGGGCACCTGGCTATAGCTGTATATAATGTCAAAACAGCTGTGTCCTATATATCCTGTTTGCTGGCGTTTGGAATAGACTGAAATGTCTGATGGTGATTGCAGGGAGGGGACTTGGCTGTGTATATTTCCTTGATTTAATAAGATGGTCAAGGAAATTTAGGTGACATTAAGCAAAGACCTAAACAGGACAGGACCTGTGGATGTCACGTGGAAGAACATTTAGACTCTTGCTTAAAGTCTTAAATTTCTACTTTGAGATGGGAAGTTAATGGAGGGCTTTCCAGAGCAAAGATTGACATGTTCAAGCTCAAATTTTAATAGTCTCTCAGTTTGTAAGATAGCAATAATAAAATAGCTGATATTTTATAAGGACTGGGCTAAGGTGGCTATTGATGATAATCTTTTTTTGTTTTTTAGATTTTATTGTGGAATTGGGGGAGGGGAACAGCCAAGTTTTGTCCTTTAATCTTAGTTGTGGAGGGTGCATCAAGCTAAGCTCCAAGTCTAGTCGTGCTGCTCAGCTCAAGGTGCTGTGTTCAATTAGCTGTGGGTGGCCATAGCCACCATCCCGTGCGGGAGTCTAACTGGCAGACTTGTTAAGAGTGCACGCTCTATCCACTGAGCATCCAGGTGGCAGCTCAGCTCAAGGTGCTGAGTTCAGTCTTAGTTGC